GTGTCTCAGCTGCAGGGGAGAGGTGGAGTAGCTGGTTCAGGGTGTGGTGTCAGGGCTGATCCACACAGCTGACCTCCATCATCTAATCATTATTTTTTTCTAAAGAAAATCAGAAAGATGTTTGATGAAGACTCCTCTTCTATCAGTCCATCAGCAGGCAGAAGCAGCTGTGTGCTCAGTTCCTCTTTTAGAGTCTGAAGTCTTACAACTGATTGAAGAAACAAAATTGAAAACATCAGTTGTGCAATGAGAACATTTAGTTGCTGATTTACTTGCTTCATTGGCCCAACTTCCTGCAGACTATATCAGATATACTTCAGTAGTGTTTCTGGAATTGTTAATCTACTCTAACTTTTATTCTTTGTATTTCATTTGCTTTCTTTTCCCTTTAACTATCGCAAACAGAATATACAACAGTATTCATTCACACTATTGTTGAAGAAACATTTTCCTTTTTCCTTCTTTTGACATATGTACATATATGTCAAAATTTGTTTGTACATATAATTTTTATTAATATTTTAAAAAGGCACTTTCATTCTTACCTGTGTTTTGTCCATGTTATACCTGGTCTCTTCAGTTGTCATGGTTACTAGCCTGCTAATGCTTGGAAGTCTTCTCTTGATACCAGGAAGGGGAGAACTCAGAGGTCAAACTCTTATTCTTGGAAATCAAAAACCAGTTTAACTCTTAAGCAGTCGAAAAATCTTCAATTACATTGTAGAGTCAAATTTGCTGAATTTACCCCAAAATGGTCTCCAGTTATCAATAAACCAGCCAGTGAAATTGCCTTAGTGTCCAAACACAAATATCATGTCCACGTGTATATTTAAGAAAACTATTTTTGTTATATAATTCACATCTACTTTTTGTTTTTCAATATTTTACTTATTGTTGCTAATTTTTTACCTCTGACAACAAGGTGATGTATTTGGCAGCGTTCGCATGTCAGTCTGTCACTTACGTAAGCCAAAAACAACAGCAGCTCTTCATCTGATAGTGATGGAACAAATAACTCGACATAACAACAATTTCTGCACTGCTAAGTCAAAAAAATGAAGTTTTGTAGATCTGCAAAATATACAGAATTAAAAACGTATTTTTGGTGGAAGCCACATTATTTATTATACTTCTACATGTGACATTCAGAAGTTACTTAAACTTCTTCGTAGGTTTAGACAATCAAAAGAAAATGTTTTCTCATCGTGATCTGCCAGGTTGTTGGAGAGCTATGCAACAGGATACAAACAAAAGAAGCAAAAGAAACAGACAAATCATAGAGAAGCAGGGGAATAGAAAACATACAATTTAACTAAAACAACTGCAGTTACAATGTAGACACTGAACATTTTGACAAAAGCACCAAATTCCATTGTGTTCCTCTGTGATCCTAATCATTGGAAACATTGTGCTGAATAAATTAAACACAAAATCAAGTGAGGTAAGTTTCTTTTTGCCCAAGGGCACAACGACCAAGACAGACAGAGCTGGGGATTGAACCGGCAACCTTCCTGTTAATAGATGAGTTTTGCAACCCCTGAACCATGGTCGCCCCACATTGACCCCATGTCTACTGTAACTAAGTAATGAGTAATGAGTTAATTATTAACTAGTTTGTTAATGAATTACTTCAGTCAAATTGAAACAGTATTTGCCACACTTCAGGCTGTGTTCACTGGCAGGACGTCATACTCAAAAGGCTCTTGCAACGGTTTATAGGGATCGAATGGCCCGTAGAAATGGGCCAGACACCCCATACTCAGGTAGCACCTCCCACAGGACACCCCGAGGAACACAGTCGAATGCCTTCTCCAAGTCCACAAAACACATGTAGACTGGTTGGGCAAACTCCCATGCGCCCTCAAGTATCCTTGAGAGGATAAAGAGCTGGTCCAGTGTTCTGCGACCAGGAGGAAAACCGCATTGTTCCTCCTTTATCTGAGGTTCGACTAGCGGACAAATCTCCTTTCCAGCACCCTGGCATAGACTTTCCCAGGGAGGCTCAGCAGTGTGATTCCCCTGTAGTTGGAACACACCCGGACCCGTTCCCGACCCTAAGGCGCAGGAAACAAACCCTCTCATCAACCAGGAAGAACTCCAACATACAGGCATCAAGCCGAGGGGATATTAGAATACCCACCCCAGCCCGCCGCCTCTCACCAGCGGCAACTTCAGACTGAGACAGAGTCCAGCCCCTCTCCAGGAGACTGGTTCTAGAGCCCAAGCCATGCTTAGAGGTGAGCCCGACTATATCTAGCTTGTACCTCTCAACCTCACACACTAACTCAGGCTCCTTCCCCACCATGTCCCAATTGCCAGTCTTGGTAGCTGGGGCTCAGTCCGCCAGGGTCTCCACTCCTGGCCGCCGCCCATCACACAACGCACCCAACCCCTACGATGCCTTGTGCGGGTGATGGGCCTGCGGGAGGATTGCCCCATGTCCCATTTTTGGGCTGTGCCCGGCCGGGCCCTATGGACTAAGCTCCAACCACCAGATGCTCACCCTCGAGCACCCTCTCCAGGCCTGGCTCCAGGGCGGGGCCCTGGTAACCCTGTCTCTAGCAGGGTAAACTGTTCCCTCAATGTTTTCCTTGTAAGGGTCTTCTGAATCGCTCTTTGTCTGGTCCCTCACCCAGGACCAATTTGCCATGGGAGACCCTACCAGGGGGCAAACACCCCCAGGCAACATAGCCCCTGGGATCCCTGGGACACACAAAGCCCCTCCACCAAGATAAGGTAGCAATTCACGGAGAGGCGGATAAAATACTTTTTTGTCAAAATTGACCTCCTTCTTGATTACAATATTATTTTCATGTATTATTTCCATTTCCAACTTCATATCTCACAAACCAGCAAAACTAGTAGTAACAATGTACTCAACGAGCAGAACCCAAATGAGTACCATAGAGAATTTTACTTTTGAGTTTTTAATTTACTTACTCAGAGGGTTATATGATGTGAGGAGGAAGCAAAATGGGGAAGGTGGAAACTGTTAGGGTCACAGAGGAGGTGCAGTCCTGGATGATCTTTTGAGGGAATGATGTTGAGAGATTTTCCAGTGTCCAGAGAGTGAGAATTAGCCAGGATGCTTACTTGTAATCAAGGGGCGAAAAAGTCCAAGGGTCTATGAGTCCATGGAGGAAGGAGTAATTGGAACGTAAGCAGGTAGTAGAGTCACTTAGTTGCACATGTCATCCGGGGAAGAAGGATTTTTCTTACCTAGTTGTTGCACAGAGAACGCCAATTAATCAGGCCTCCCTTGTTGGTAGCCAGAGGCCAATAAGAGAGTTTGGCAGGTCAGAAAAGGGAATCGCAGCCGGACGCAGGGAAGGAGGAGAGAGCCACGGAGTTGCGTGGTGGCAGGCGCAGCCACAGCAGTGAGAGCTGTAGAGCGGCAATTACCGGCAGGGCACGGCCACAGGAAAAGAGAGAGACGGCCCTCGTTCAGTTGACGGCAGACTTCTTCCACGGTGGTAGCAAGACGCCAGCTAAACACTTAAGACACGGAGCAGCAGCAGGCAGAGTTTGGAGCTCTGCCCTCGCGTGGTAACTCCCAAGTGGTTAAAATTCTTAAAGACACCTCAGTAAATTAAGAAGGGTGACTGCTGCTGCTGTTCTGTGCTTAGTGGAAGCTGGAGCGGTGTGGCGAGGAGCCCACGAAGGACTTTGTTGGCCTGGCTCCCACTGGTGGACTCAGCAGACCCTTAACAGCCAAGAAGTGTGGCGGAGCCCGATTAGGACCCTTGGGACTTTAGGTTTTGTTTTTAATCATTCTCTTCCCTGATCAGGGTATTTTTATGCTGTAAATAAAGTGTATTTGGTGAATAGACACATAGCTCAATACATGAGTGGGGCCAAGACAGGAATAACCAGTAACACCAGCGGAGAACACCAGTTCCTGCTAGGTAGAGCAGTCACTTAAGACTGTAGACTAGACTGACCAACCTGTAGACTGCCTAAGTTGACTACAAGAAAGCCTATGACAGTGGCTCACACATTGATCCTGGAATTCCTGGAACTGTACAAGATCATCAGAACCCTAAGAGCCTTCAATAGCACCTTAGTGGAGCTGATGTGGCATTGGTACTGTTGAGTGGAGAGCATAGTGTATATGAATAGTGTATATGAATGTTGCATAAAAAGAAATCGAAAGTGTGAAGGGGTGAATGAAGCATGTTGTATAAAACGCTTTGACTGCTCAGGTAGAGTAAAATTCACAATCAGTTCATTTAGGGAAGAATCATAATTTAGGTAAAACTACACCATTTGTGACAATCATAATATCAATCTGACTTTGAATTACACATTTAATGACACAAAAAATGTTATGCATGCAGTTTGCATCCTTTAAATTCACATTGGCATTAAAAGAGCTTGGACTTGTGTAACCTGCCTGCCTTCATTTTAGACTAATAGCAACAGCTTCCACAAAAATCCCCCAAAACACAAATGTGTGTCCTCATAATTCTATCATTAAGTTGTTCATCTAAAGTAGCTCCATTTAAACAGTCTACTTTCAGTGCAGGTTTCGAGTTTGATGCTATAATTATAAGAAATAAAACATATTAAATTATCTATTTGCATAAGTACTTGTAACTCAGTTGCCTGAAACCTGCAGTATATAGGGGATGTAGTTTTACTAAATAATAATGTTTAACATTTTTGCAGTTTTTTTTCTTTTTCTTATTAACCAAGCTGACTTTTGCAACTCAATTGAAGCAGCAGAAGTAGTATTTATAAAAAAATAAATCTCTCTAAAGTATCTGAAACCAGAGTTTGTGTCCTGTCTTGTGTCCTTGTTATGCTTTCAGGTGGAATCCAGTGTGCATGCCATGGTAAAAACAGAGAGACTGTTGGAGGCACACAGTCGGTTTAATGTTTAATTTTTTCTGACTCAGACAACTTCGCCCCAGCCTAACAGAAAACAGAACTTGAACAAGTCACGCAACCACTTGCAGTTGTTTTTGTCTGTTGTTTTTCTTGTTTTAGTGAATGTGAAAATGGAAAAAAAGATGAAGTGTGTGCTTATATTACTCCTCTGTTCTCCTGCTGCATCTCCAGGTAAGATATTTTATTCAAAGTTTATTTAAGTTTTTATTTAAAAATATTTCTCTTGACTTACAGCAAATTGCATTGTAAGAGATTTGGTCTTTTACTTTTGCTATGAGCTGTCGCCATTTTACGCCTGACATGGACTACTAACAACACCTAACTTGTCAAAAAGACACAGGGAGATATTTAAGCATATAGAAGAGAAATTTTAGATCAGCAGCTGTGGCTATGCTTTTACAGATCTTTTGTTCAAAGTATCCTCTCTTGTGACATCCTTGTGTTTTTCACAAACTGGACTGTAGCTGAAAGGAAAGCACTACAGAGTGTTATTAAATCAGTACAGAACCTTATACACACAGTTAAGTTATTTAAAAAATGTTAACTTATTCTAAAAGCAGGTTACTTGATCTTTTATTTTCTATTTTATCCTTTTAACTTACATAATGTGGTGAAAATGTTTCTTTTCTTTTATGTGTTCATTACATGTTTTAGCAATATCACTTTTGGGTCATTTAAAAGGTGCACATATGAAAGAGCATTCAGCTTTAACTTTATTGCACACACACAGTTACAACTCTGAGAAAGTTGGTGACACCCAGTCGGGGGAAATTCAACAGGTGAAGTCTTTTGTTCTGTGTCCTTGAGGATGGGTGGAAGAGACAAGGGGCAATCACTGTAATAGGAGATAAGGTTATAAAATCTCTCCTTTTCTGGAGAAGGTCAAGGGTACATCTGGTTACATCTGCTTGACTGTATTTAAAATTGACTGTGCTGTTCATCTTCAGAGATTCCTATCAGTGCCCTGTTGAATGGTCATTCTCTCACTCAAGATTGAGATTTAAAGGTGTTAATTTAATTAATTAAAATGATGAATCTGAACCAAGTTTTAGTTTTTATTTAACCTTCTTAAATGGTACATAAATCATATAATACAAATGTCATCTGATTTTGTCCTGCCAATTTTACAGTAAAACACTCCCTGAAGTTTTTCTCCACTGAAACCTCTGGAGTCCAGAGTATCCCAGAGTTTGTGGCTGGTGCACTTGTTGATGAAGTTCAGATAGGTGACTTCAACAGTGTAAGAGGAGCAGAGCTAAAGAAAGACTGGATTAAATTCTTTGAGGATCATCCTCAGCACCTGGAGTGGTATAGTTTACAATCTAATGACAGTCATCACTTCTTTAAGGCTACAATTAAGACTTTGAGGCAACGTTTCAACCAAACTGAAGGTACTGATTTGTTTCACTTGTTACTTTTGTAATGTTGATTTGTCCCAAAGGTGCAGTTTCACTATGCTGTGCTGACATCGTACTGCTTTACCACAGTTACTGTTACTTTCTCTCTTTTCAGGTGTTCATATCATCCAGAGGATGAATGGCTGTGAGTGGAATAATGAGACTGGTGAGATTAATGGGTTCAATCTGTACAGTTATGATGGAGAAGACCTTCTAGCATTGGACCTGCAGACACTGACATGGATCACTCCAAAACCGCAGGCTGTCCTCACCAAACTTAGATGGGATGCTCAAAAAACTCGATTAGAATTAAACAAAAACTTTTTAGGCTATCGGTGCCCTGAGTTTTTAAAGGAGTATTTGCAGTATGGCAGGAGCTTTCTGCAGACAGCAGGTAGGATTACAGAATCTGATGAAACATAATAGAATAGAAAGTTAATATGGATTTCTTGCATTAAAAGTAAAATAAAATTCAAAAAAGAATGTGACAACTGCCAATCTCTCCCCAGTTCTTCCCTCAGTGTCTCTCCTCCAGAAGACTCCCTCCTCTCCAATCAGCTGCCACGCTACAGGTTTCTATCCTGACAGAGGTTTGATGTTCTGGAGGAAAGATGGAGAGGAGATTCATGAAGGTGTAGATCCCGGAGAGATCCTCCCCAACAATGATGGGACCTTCCAGTTGAGTGTTGATTTGAAACTTTCATCAGTCACACCTGAAGATTGGCAGAGGTACGACTGTGTGTTTCAGCTCTCTGGTGTGAACGAGGACATCATCACCAAACTGGACAAAACAGCGATCAGGACCAACTGGAGTAAGACTGGATCCTGCAGGGTTTGAAAACTGAGTTTGATATTATGAAGTTGTAAATTAAACAGTTTAGTTGTCAAATTTAATTCCTAAATGCCATTCTTATTGATCAATAAAGACAAGTCTTTACAAGTGTAGCATAAGTCTGGCGTAAAAATGGCATCTCAAACTGGGTTAAAGTAATGAAGTACCATTTGCATTATGGTGTATCACTACTTTAGAGTGCACAAGGCGCATAACTAATGCTTAAGTAATGAAGTTTTGATGGCTTTGTGTGACATTTAGCGATGTTAGACTCATCAACTATCAGGTCCTTGATTTTCTCTCCACTTATTCTTTAGTAACTGCACACATTTTGGTTCAGTATTATAAGTGTTGTCATATTTTGTTCAACAGAAAAGCCCACTGACATGGGAACCTTCATCGCTGCTGCAGTGATTGTTCTAGCTTTCACCATCATCACACCTGTGACATTTTTGACCTACATAAATAAAAAATGTGAGAAATCTAAAGTTTAGTTCAAGTTCATGTCAAGTAAAATGATTATAGGGCAGTAGAAGGATGAGGTGAGAAGGAAATAATCAAAGTAAAAAGGAAATTGACACAAAATTACAACAGATATGGTTGATTTTAGTTTGTTTCAGCTAAATGTTCTACATCCTGTAAGTAATGTAGAACATTTATTAGAGATATAATATGCATTATTTAATTGTAAAACAAAGTACAGACTTGTTCTTTTTTGTTACACATGATCTGATCACTTAAACAGCCCTGATCTCCTCTCACTTTCATAGCTGGGAAGCAAGGGCCATGTATTCAATAATCACTAGAAATTACACCCTTGAAAAGGCTAAAATATGTGTAAACTGTATGCTTTTGATCTTCCAGCTCTTGACGATGGCTCTGAGCAGTCTGAGAGACTAAATCCACAAAGCTGAGTGCCCTAAGAAGTTCTTCACTCTGCTCTCTGTATGACTTTCCTCCAGCTGCTGCTGTCACCTCAGTGTTTCAAATACATATGTTAAAAACACCAGTGAATCAATTAGGCACAGGTAATGATCACATTCTGCTGCACTTGTTGTAAATTAGTGCATGGTCAGACATCTGTATGCAGCTCCTGTGTGTACATTTCATGCATTTGTGATTTTATTTTGCTTCAGTATGTAGTCACAGTATCGATGCAGCAGTATCACAAGTCTTCTACAAAGCAAAACTAACTCTATTGATAGATATGTATCTGATGATGACTGTTTGGTAGAACTGAAGTGTGTAATTTTATTGAGAAATTGGAATCGTACAAAGCATGTGGTATTTTCCAAATGACACTAAAATATCTGAAGGATGACAGCAACAGACTCTCATTTGGAAATGAAATTTTGTCATTTTATTATTTCATTATAAAGTTGTATGAAAATTCTCCAGATTGAAGATGCACTGAATCGCATGACCCCCTATGAACAAAGACTTGGCAACAGTTGGTTGAAACATTACAATTAGATTTTGTTCCTATTGATTTTATATATTTATTTGTGTTTCTTTTATTTTAATTCTAAATTTTATTTTGATTAAAAATAGTTCATATACTTTTTATTTTGGTTAAGTAAAGAATGTTGCTTCAGATGTGAGCTCTGCTTTGATGCTCTAATAAAAAATGTTCTCTGATGTTTTTTTTTGTTGTATTTTTTAAATCTTCAGAATTTGAACATTTCTATCTATCACTGATTTAAATGGATTCATAGTTTTCTCACTCTGAATGTTGTAAATTTCCTTCTGGCTTTAGCTGGGAGCATACAGATTCCTGATATTGTCAAGGTTCTGGGTCTTGGACTGAGTTTATTTTGTTTGAGTATTTCTGTGCTATTATGATTTAAGTTTCACTAGTCAGTCCTGAATTTATTCTTGTTATTGCTGCAAAGTTTTCCTGTAATTTCTTGTTTTTGAGGTTTCCTTTGTGTCGTTGTCCTGTGTCCCTAGCTTTCTCTCGGTCTGTGGGTGTGTGTGTCCTTGCGTCTTGTTTCCCTTTTCTATTTAATGTTGCCTCCCTTGTGTTTCCATGTTACCCCTGTCTCTCGTGTGTATTTATGTATGTTCTTCACAGCCCGTTTTGCATCTCTCCTTCTTTCTCCAGCCCTCTCTCTTTCCCTTGATGACTTGTCTCCCTTCCCTCTTTGTGTTTCCTTCCTCTGTCTCCCCAGTCAATCCTCTTCTAATGTTCCTGCCTGTGTCTTGCTGTGTGTTTTATTTTGACAGGCTCTCGTTTTGTGTTCATTGTGTTTAGTTTTGTTTCCCCGGGTTCGTTATGTCTGTTTGTCCCAGCTTTGTTCCCATGTGTTTCTACTTCCCTCGTCACCCCTCTGTGTTTTAAGTGTGTGAGTTTTCCTTTGTTCATTGTCAGGTTATCTGTTATTTATGTGTCATTGTGGTAGGACTCGACTTAAGCGGTCAAAGAAGTGCAGGAGACTGATGCTGTCCAGTGTAGCAAGTGATTTATTCACCATTTTGTGGCCCAAACAATATTTACAAAGAAACAAATAAGAAACTCAACTCTATAATTAACTCAATTCAAATAAACATAACTGAACTTAAATCAACAGAAATTAAGGTCAAACTGCACACAGCTACACTGACCTGAACCTTTCTCTCCCAAAACACCTGAGTTCTTCTGCCTAAATAGTCCACTTAACCAAACAATTTCTCCTCTCGACTGTTCCATTCAGTAGGTAGGTAAGATGAACATGATTATATTCAAACCTCTACTACTCCTCTTTACTGGCAACATAAACTCTGGTGTAATCAATACATATTACAACAATAAATCTATTTCTTCTCAAACCCTCTAAAATCAACTTTATTAAATTATAAGAGTTCTTCCCCTTC